TCTCTCTCGAATACTCACATTTTCGGGATGCGTCTGAAATCTCTGATACAGTTCCTCGGGCGTGATTTTGTGGAAGTCAATGTCCAACTCCTGTTTCAAGTCCTCTAGATTGTCCGTCCTCCGCTTTGGGTTCTTTCGCCGCGACTGTTTCAAACAAAATCACAACAGTTTAATCATCATTGTCAAACGCTACCAATTGAAGAATGTTAGAATTTTCAAGGTAAAGGATTCTTTCTTCGGGACGTAAATTACTACTTAAGCTGAGAGCAGGTAGCAACAGGAAGTATATACATTAAGCTCTTAAACTCAAGAACAAGTATTTCTTTGATACTCCTAGAAACAGTATTTCATTCGAAAAATATCATATTTCTACAAAGCTGCTCGATTTTCAAATAAATATCTTCTTCGTAGCCTTCAATTTACTCCATTATTCAGAATATCGTCGATTCGAATTGCAAGAGGAAATTGTGACAGAAAAAGGATACAGCGAAGATTGTCGCGATATCGTATCTCTAAAAAATTATTTTTCCCTATTATCTCCAGAAAATTTGCAAACTAAACTTCACAAAATTTAATCTTAAGTCTTAACAATCTCCACAAGATTTCCAATATTAATTCGTAACACATTCTGTCCCACGTGCACCCTTAACCCTTCCGACTCGACGGCGTTTGCAGTAGTTCGTTTCCTACGGCCGACTTGAAATTCAGCCCCAAACATATCCAATTGTTTATAAAGTATTTGAGTCTTTGACAATATTCTGATTTTCAGTATTGTACCGAATAATTAAGAAATTAAGAATAATTAACACTTTACCGACCGCTCGTTGTTGAACTCTTTTCAGGCTCCGTCTTTACTCCGGGCTCAAAATTTTCAATTAAAATTCGTGAGGGTGCCTACTATACCGTTCGCTTTCACTTATTATAGGGAAATTAAAATTAATAACATTAAAGAACGCTAAGCGTTGGCAGCGAAAAGCCGATCAATAGGCTTTCGGTCGGTAAAGTGTTAAGAAAGGAAAGCGGTGACACATTCTCAGATGTCGTGTCTGAAGGGTTAAACAGTCCAATTTTCATTAATCGAGAACGTTTCTTCTTCGACTCAATACACTCGCGTATCCCAATAATCCTCGTCGAAGGGAAGATTCCTTCCTCCGAATTTCAGGTTAGGATGGGAAAAATTTCGTTGAAATTGGAGGAAGAGAATCGAGGATTACAAGGAATTAGGTCACAATTACACCATACAAACTACCCTCGATCCCAAACACCGCTAACACGGGAACAATTAACAGGCTAACAGCGACGCTAAAACCCAGCAACGTGGGAATTAATCACAGGATCATCGTTAATTGCGACGTCGTTCGTCCCAACGAACGTGCAGACGTGGGAATCGTCGGCAGACCTGTTAAGCATACCGAATTCATCCCTCACCAACCCGACATATTAGTGAATTATCCTAAGTGAACGCGTCGAAATCGTGGAAGCAGGCGATAGACCAAATCCCATGGGCGAACATCGTTTGGTTAACAAGATCAGAGTAATGTACAGAGTGTCCAATGTAAATTTCAACATGAAATTTCACGAATTTCTTCGGAATTCTGTGAAACGTTATTTTTCACAAAAATTCAACTATACTTAAGCGTGCACAGCTTTCGTAAATCTGAGATGTGAATGTTAACTTCTGGGGTGTTTCAAGTATTTTCAATTTTCTTTCGGAGATTTTAAATTACTCCGAATTTCAGAATGTTAACTTTATGTTTTTTCAATTCTCCTTCAGAGATTTTAAATTATTCCGAATTACGAATGTCAACTTTATGTTTTCGAAATATTTTCAATTTTCTTTCAGAGATTTTGAAGTATTTCGAATTGACGAATGTTACCTTTGTTTTCTGAATTCTCTTTCAGGGATTTCAAATTATTCCGAATTGACGAATGTTAACTTTATGCTTTCTTAATTTTCCTTCAGAGATTTTGAAGTATTTCGAATTGACGAATGTTAACTTTACAATATTTCCAATTTCCCTTCAGAGATTTCAAATTACTTCAAATTGACGAAATGCGATTTTCAATTTCAGTCCGAAAGAATTTTTCCCAAAAACGTCCCGAAATTTCACGTCGACATTTACACAAAGACACCCGAGTACACAGAATTTCCGCAGCATTAGTAAGTGTTAAAAAGTGATTTCCAACGATACTGTGCAAGAAACAACGTGTTAGTCCCAATCACCAGAGACAGGCT